ACCACCACGTCCTCATTCTTAGCGCAGAAGTAATTAAACCAGAATCGACGATTTGCTTTATCATCCATCTTTACTTTCAAACTTTTATCTCCACAAAGACAAAGGTGCAACATCGTCCCTCTATGGAAACTCGGCGCGAAGAGGTGCATCAAGTGGCGAAGAGAGACCCTGCAGCCAGCCAATTTCACGTACTTTGTCATCATGAGGATGAGCTTGTAGATATAAGGAGAAAGCTAAGCCGGGCAAATGTCGTAGTAGCGGACGAATTCCTCTGCCAATGGTAGAATTGGAAAAAAGTAGCCCACGTAGAATGGATATGCGTAGAACGCGTAATATCCAGGGCGATGAATTTGCACCACATCGCGTCCAGCCGGGATGAAATCGATGTGGACTAGAATTTTGAACTTCGCCCTGAAATTAGCAAGGGCAACCGTGTCCATCTCACACTCTACGGCCTCAGGGTCATGCTCGGGTAGCTTTGAGAAGTCAGTTCTAGCCTTCTCGCTACGGGGAATTATTTTCTCCACTGTAGGAAAGCTTTCATCTTCTGCAGCAATAGCAGGCTCCACCGTCATGGGGAGGCATGCACACTGCCAAAGGAACAGGGTTAGGTACCCCCCAGAACTGGAAGACATACTAACCATTTTAGTTTATGAATAGAGGGGATATAAATGCAGAAGAGTCAAGTAGCAAGAACCACCGAAATCAGTGAAGGCAGGAGTATGAAGTAAGGTCAAGAAAGCAGAGATTCTGATTGAGGAAGAAGAAGATATGAAAATCCAATTTTTAGAATGCAAAGAGTGAATCGAAGGATTGAGTATCCCCATTTATAAAAGTTAGGGCATCAATATCGAGGAAGAAAACCACAGTTGCCCAGCTCAAAAATCAAAACGACGGAGGGGCGGGAAACGATACAAGGTATCGAGAAAATGTGTAATAATGACATGACGTCATTCTGAAACGACGTGACCCTAGGTCGTGGCTCACGGAAGGCCACGTTTCCTTCCCGTCCGAAGCGCTGCTACTTGACCTGCTCGCATAAAACTTCTCAACCCTAATTGACAGAGTCCGCTCATCAAGGTCGCCCAGGGTCGACATCAATAAGCAGAGGGACTAACTGTATGGATCAAAATTTACCTCAGTGGGATTTAGCAGGAAGTAGTATCATGAAAAGCGATATGGTCGAGGTCGATTAGTAGATAACGGGGCTCGTAGCCGAGTAGTCAATAACGGCCGAGGTCGATTATCAAGGGCAGTGCTAACGGCTAATTTTTGTAATAGAATATTCTATTGAATATTCTTAGTGTCTGTACTTTTAGGGTTGACTAGAGAATATCTAATATAAATAGAAAAAGAGATAGGGGGAGAGGGATATGTAATATTCTCTGACAAAAACATTCTTGGAAAAGCAGACTTTCTCTCTAGATAAAAGACAATCACTACCTTTCTAAAGAGATTCGATTGTCTACTATTCCACACTTTTTCCATTAGATCTGAGAAGGGTCCCAACATTCTAGTATTTGTGTATCATTCATCATTGTCAGAAAGAAGAATCATCCACCTCATTCAATATTGGGTGAATCATTCTCCTTATTTATTTTAATGTCATTTATCGTTATTTATTGCTTGATATTCCCCCATCATTAATGATCTTGAAACATTGAATGTACATTATATTTAATCTTCTCTCAACACTGTTCTTGCGTTATTTGTGTTAATCGATTATAGATCTAAAGTTATTATCATTAACTAAGTTTAGCCTTTCGTCATACAAAATTAATTAGTTTAATCAAAAGTTTATATTTTTTGTTCAAACTCTAATTATACACGATTATGCATATATTCTATATAATGATACATTTGTTGCATATTTATGGAATATTTTTAATTTAAGCAATTTGACGAGCGACAGTTTGAATTAATTCTTCAAACAACAAAAAAGCACCCGAAAGTGGATGGTGGTTGAGCTGAGGTAACTATCACAATCAAAGGAATATAACTTTGTCTCTTTTCATGCTTTTCATTTTTATTACTTAAGAAGATAAAGACGAGAAATTTATTTTGCTAATTTTGTTACTCAAATTTAATTAACTTTACGTGTTTTACATCTATTAAAGCAATAAGTTAAGCGAAGAAGTGGTGGTTGTTTATAATGAGATCGATGTCTGTTTTAGTTTGTCCAAATCATTAATTATATGTTAAACTATTTCTTCCGTTCACACTATACTAAAAATACTTTTTTACTTGTACTTGTATATTATATTAAAATACATTTTCACCTTTACTTGTCTACTATACTAAATCAAAAAAAAGTCTTATTTTTTATCTTACCCTTATCATTAACTACTCATTCCCCAAATTATTTTTCAAGACCTTATGAAATACTATTATTATTAAGGGTTATATGGTAAAATATATACTACAGTTATTATTTCTCAAGTGAACCGAGAGAGTACTATTTATTGCATTTAGCAAATGTTTTGATATCGACAAATGTACTTGAACTAGAAAAAGTTTTTCCAAGTCAATTCTCACACTCATCCCTCTAGTATAAAAAAAAGAAGTTTAACGTTCTGGAAATTACTATGATTTTTACGTAAATGTTTAGGATACGCAAATCCAATTAAAGAAACTTAATATCTTTAAATAGTAAAACTTCATTTATAGGCTTTCAAGTTAACTTTGGCCATAGACCATAAACTTTTAAAGCTCCATAAAATGTGAAAAACTTTTTTGTTACTTACACCGAGAAACCATTTGGATATTAGCAACTTTCTTTCACATAGTGTTTCTTCTTTCATTGTTTTGATTATGAATCCAATATATAGAAGAAAAGGCAAAAATAACAGAAAAAAAGCTGAAACTAAACGTAACAGACATGAATTCCTTTTTCCATAATCTAGCATTTTCTCTTTTTAATTTACACAAAGGGGAAAAAAGCACAAGAACAAATAAGGAAAAAGGAGATATAAGACCAAAGTCCAAACTAGCACATATTGAATTGTATAAACAGTTTTTTTTTCTAAATAATAATTTAGGAACGTGGAAATATTTCGTTAATAGAAGAAAGTAAAATTAAGATCTTTACTTACTCCGAAATCACTTTAGAATTATGCGAACATGATTCTTAAAATGTAAGAATTTTACAGTTGGAATTCGAACCTGTAACCTAATTCAAACTATCTTTGTAACTACACAGAATCTTTCCCTGAGTCAAGAATATTCAACAAAATATATTCCAAAAAAAAAAATATTTTTGTCTTATTTGCATATTATAATTTTCTAACGAAAAAGATTCAAATAAACCGACTTGCGCCCACCTAGCTTCACCCCTGCATGCAACCACCTAATTATCAAGTGAAAGAAAACACTTTCTTTTATTCATCTTAATAGTTTCCGATCCTAGCAGGAAAGGAAGGGAAATAGATACTCAATTTAAAGTGAGTAAATAAAAATCTATACTCGATCTCATAGATATATATAAAATTCTGCCGAAAGCCTTATCTGATGAAAATTATATGTATGGCTTGGAGGAAGATTTTCACATCTTTCGAAATCACCCTACAATATGGGGTAAAAAGGCCAAAATAAGTGAAGATTTCCAGCAAACAATAAATGAATATGCATTTTCTTGGTACCTTTATGTTATTGGTAGACCACAACTCGATAAAACATCTGCCCCGAAAAGCAAAAACTCAAGCAAAAAGTTATTAATCGATTCAATCAGAGTAACCATGTTGAATAAGTCATTATATTATATTGATATACTTGATTCCCCTTTTTCTGGTGTAAAAAAGGTTACCATTATGCTTCTAAGAAATAATAATAATAATAATAATAATAATAATAATAATAATAATAATAATAATAATAATAAATAGACACTAAAGGTTATTATGGGATGGAAAGAATTGTTGGCCGATAACGATCCAAAGATACTCTCAACATGGTGTGATATTATCCGTTTTGGGATAAGCTTGTACGATTTTTTTCAAAAATCCTTACATTATTAAGAGTATCTAACTCCTTATAAGTAGCTTTTTCTTTTTCTTTGTGTCATGTGGGACTTTGTTTAGACACCTAACAAGAATCCCTTCGATCCATCCTTAACCAGAGGTTTCGGGTTCGAGCCCTAGGAATGAAAAATTCCCTTAAGCTTCCCCTTTTGATGAATTTTACACGACACAAATTCGAATTAGCCAGGTTCTGTTTATCCTTAAAACGGATAACAATTAAATTTGTACGCGATTTTAAGGATATGTGGATTGGATTGATTCAACACAAGTAATCAAGAATATTAAATAAACGAATAAGATAAAATAAATGACCAAATCAGTTGTGTATAGAGACCCTCGATTCGAAGCCAAATGTGTATAGAGAACTATGATTAAAATAAAAACCTTTCAATAGGTAGAAAGCAAAGAAATAAGTTTGTATTGCCTTGATATGCGTGTTACAATGTGTCTACTGAATAAGAAACTTCCCCTTTATATAGTAGGGGAGTTTTATCCCTAGTACAATTCTAAAAAAGGTAAAAATCCTCCTTGTACATCAACTATTGATACGTTGCCGATATCGGGAGAGATCCGTGCCGCGATATCCAGTTGGGCACGGATATCACGGCCCTCTGTTAGTCGTGTGCAACCGTTTGTAGTTCTTTCCGAGGTCTTGGAGCCCGTTCCAGGTTCAGGGGTGTTGTCTTGTCAGGCTTGATAGCAAGCACCCCGTTCTAGCCTCGATTCAAAGAGTTCTCAGATTCGGTCTCTATATCATACATTCATACTTCTTACTTCGTTTGACTCAACGAGAACTCGGGAGATGTGGTGATCCCGAGTTTACCCGTATACAGGTTCCAATGCGGATTTCAAACCCAAGATGGAAAATAAAATAATAATATATAGCAAAAGACAAAGCAGCCACTATTTACTGTCTATTACTCAACTTTTGTCTCTCTTTAACACCGTCCGTACCCTCTATATATCTTGTAAACTTCCTCAACTCCTCTCCCACATCTCTAAACCTTTAATTTCTTTTAATTTCCCTCCTCCTCCTCCTCCTCCTCCTTTTTCCTTCTTCTTCCCATTGAAAATCAATGGTGAAGTTCTCTAAAGAACTTGAGGCACAGCTAATCCCAGAATGGAAGGACGCCTTTGTAAATTATTGGCAACTTAAAAAACATGTTAAGAAAATCAAGATATCAAGAAAACCAAAGCATGTTCAAGATGGAAACTCTGCTCTTGATTTTGGTCGATCCATTTTCGACTCCATTCGTTCTTTTACCATAAATTTTCATAAAGCTGCTGATAAACCTGAAGTTTCTCAAGTATGTTAATTCTCCTTCTTTTTCTTGATATTGGTACTACTATCTTTTTACAAGGTGGTGAAAGTATACAAGAGGTTTGTTTATTTTATGTGTAATTCTTTAGTTCAAGTTCATTGTCCTTTTGTTTGAAAAAGAAATGAAAGGGTGACATTATTTTCAGGCAAAAGTCTTAAAAACATTTAATATATAGCCCCTGTCCACAACACCACAACAAACAACAACATAACCTGATCTCGTGTCTAAGTAGACCTAGACTTTACCCCTATCTTTTGCGAAGGTAAAGAGGCTGCACCATCACAATCAATAGCATCAAATGTATATTCTTCCTTTTTGCCACCTTTTCTTCTCCTCAATGAAAATGGTTTTTCTTTAACTTTTTACTCTTAATATTTTTTTTATTTCCCTACATGGAATTTCTTTATACTATTCTTCATGTTGAAGTTGAAGTCACCGGAAAATCAAGAAAATATCGTGTTAAAATGGTTTATTATTGGATTGAGGTGGAAGGTGAAAGGGTGTGTGATTTAGCATGGAGGCAATAATGAAACGGTTTTTGTATCATTTTGTATCATGAAACTATCGTGAAGAGTTGAAACAAGTACAACAACCTGAAAAAAAGGAGTCAATGAAAATGACAATTTTAGTTTATATGGGAAGATATATAATGAAGGAAGTTATTACTCCATATTATTGGTATAAATGTATCTTTTTTAAAAAAAAATTGTTTGTACAGGTGAAGGGCATAATCAAAGAAGGAGAAGATGGAAGTGAACAAGAAGAGCAAGAAGAAATGTATGAAACTGAAAATGAGCTTGCTCAGTTGTTTTCTGAAGAAGATGGGGTAATTATAATAATAATAGAAAATTAAATTACAAAAGTGTGGTATGTTACTAGTAGGTTACGAGTCCGTGGAAACAGTTTTTTGCAGAAATGCAAGGTAAGTTTGCGTACAATAGACCCTTATGGTCCGACACTTCCCTGAACCCCGCGCATAGCGGAAGGGAGTGTAGTATACCCGGCCAAATTACAAAGTGGGGAACTGAATATTTTGAAAATTTATGTTCATTTTGTGACCTTTTTTTTGTATTTTTTTTTTTTTTGTATTTTTGCATGTGTAGGTGAGGATATTTTTTGAAATGCTAGATGAAGAGCTGAAAAAAGTGAATGATTTTTACAAGACTAAAGAGAGTGAGTTTCTTGAAAGAGGGGATATTCTTAACAAGCAGCTCCAAATATTGTTGGACCTTAAGCAAGTTCTCAGTGACCGTCGCCGGAAAATCCACGGGTCGAGATCCGGATCCGGGTTTTTCAGTCGGACCAATTCATTATCTGGCCGGAATTCTGATTTTTCCGGTGAGCTCTTACTTCTCGTTCTTTAATTTGTTTACAACAAACATAACATGTGCCTAGTTTGTAAAATTAGTTTATTTTCCTTACTGGACTTCATGTGATGTTTCCATAGTTATAAGGCAAATTTGGAATACTCGAAATAAACATAAAAGTTGAATATTGAAAATATTTTTCCAATTAGCTTGAATTTAATTTCTTAATCAATAGACAAAGGTACATATTAGTAACACGTAATAAACTCGCAACACGTTCCAAGGGGTAATTCTTTTCGAGAGATCGCGTTTCAGTTTCTAACAAGTTAGAGTCAACTAAGACGCAATTGTTACTGCTATAGTTGTCTTTGCTGTGATCTGGTAATGGATTCGAACCGTAAAATCAGTCACGAGTAGACAGCCTACATGCTTTGTGCGTTGGGCAGGCGTTATAGTATTATGAGTTTGAATTCTAACTTCGGCTATAGAAAAAGCTATTAAATAAAAGTTATATCAAGAACTTTGCAAATCAAGAATGATCTGTGTGAATAGTTTGGAGAGCATAGTTTCTCCATTTACATGAATAGTGGTCCCAAATACAAAGGTTGCATTTTATTTTTCTTCCAACAGAATAATCATTCTTATTTTAGTGGATTCCACACCATTTTCCTACAAAAGTGTCCACCCTAGGTAATTCAGACACTAAAATTTTAAACTTTGAGAGAGTACAGAAGATGTAAAAGTGATTTGATCAAAGATTTCTGTTGGAGATGTGATGCGCTAAATGCACTTAGAATCATTTTAATTACTATAAAATAATCATAAGAAAAGTATGAATACAAGTTATATAAACCGACTGCATAAATTTTACTATTACACTATTATATCGTTAGTAGAAATGTACCTTTAGTTATCTTATAGTAAGTGATTTCTTCTTGTTGCGGTTACTTCTTTTTATATTTTCTTTAGCCGAGGGTCTATCGGAAATGACCTCTTCATCCTCCCAGGGTAGGAGTAAGGTCTACGTACACGCTATCCTCCCCAATTCTCCTCCCCGTGGGAATTCACTTAGTTTGTCGTTGTTTTTTATCTTATAAGTGATTTGATTATGTAAGTATTTTTTACGTAGAAACTGCAAGCGAATATTGTGACAGCCCAACGGGGACAGAAACATCACAAACAGAAGAAGTGATAGCAGCACTAGAAAAGAATGGGATAAATTTTGTAAATTCAGCAAGCACAAGGGCAAAGACTAAAAAAGGCAAACCAAAGATGGCAATGAGGATTGATATTCCAGCCACTACACCAACACGTACTATAGCTGCTGTTACATCTATGCTTTGGGAAGATTTAGTGAATAACCCTAAGAAAGATGGTCCTAGAGAATACATTAACAAGAAGAAAATCCAATGTGCTGAAAAGATGATCAGAAGTGCTTTTGTTGAACTTTATAGAGGCCTTGGCTTACTCAAAACTTACAGGTAATTTTCCTTTTTTTAGTTGTATCTTAAATTTTTTAAAACAGATCTAAGATTTTAAGTCGGTACGCGCAGAATATCACCCCGTTATGCTAACAAAGATCTTGCCTGATAGTTGGTAACATAGTTCGTGCATGTGTAATGATAATTATATACCAAATAGAACTAGCAGTAGCAAAATCAGAAATTTCGCTAATTAAGTATGTTGAAATTTGACTAATATATAAAGCTATTTTCCAGCTAAAAGATGTTCAACTGATCAACTCTACATTTATAAGTCTTCTACGCTTAGAACTTGCTAGCTTTATTGAATTGCAGGCTCCTGTAACTATCAACTTGCTACATATTATATTAGCCGGAAACTATATTTAATATGAAAATCGAATGTTAACCTAAAATAAGTAGTCAGTAACTTTTTATAATCGGTTAAATAACTATGATAGTATAAAAATTATACGCTGTCAGTGTAATCGGTCATACTTATGGTTTACACTATCAGATAATAGTACTTTATGAATGTAGAATGGCGTGTTNTATATATATGTGAATGGTGATGTAGTTACATTTGGTTAGTGACTTGTGCTAATGTTTGTATAGTTGAGATTTCGTAATACAATAGATTTATGTCGTGATATTTGACTTATCTAGCAATCATTCATTTCAAGGACATTTGGAAACAAACAAGTAACAAACAATAAAGTTCATTTTTTGTAAAGGGAAATAAAGGGAAAAAGCAACAAGAAGATGACAAAAGAAAAACAGTATGAGGAAAGAAAAAGAAAGAACTAACAATGAAGATATTGCATTAAACGTTTAGCAAATATTATTGAACTCTTTTATTTTCGAGCAAAGATTACTTTCAGCCTACTGCCGAAATTATTATATCCGATGACCGCAAAAGAACATAAAATTTATATATATTTTTGTAGATACCATACATAAATGTATATATATATATATATATATATATATATATATATATATATATATATATATATATATATATACAAAAAATTATATATTTTTCGACTATTATTTTCAAATTAAAGTAGCTATACGCTTCCCTTTATTCTTCTTTCATTTCTCTTTTTTGGGCTAGCTCTCTGTCACCTTTTGATCAAAAAGCGTTTTCATTAGCTATAGCCAATTCAATAGAAGAAGTTTCTTGAACGTAAACGTCTATAAATTTTGTTACTTTTCAGTTTACATGCATGAATGTCAAAATAAGTTTATGGATGTTTTAATGATTTCGCTAACTTTTTTTTCCAGCTCACTAAATATGGTGGCTTTCGTGAAGATACTTAAGAAGTTTGATAAGGTAATATTTTAAGTTCGAAAATGAAGTCATGTCCTAATATTTACACCAGATCAATAAAATAAACTCCGGCTTGTAATTATTTGACCTTATTTCTCTCTTTTTCCCGTCAAACAGGTCGCTAAGCAGCAAGCATCAGCCAATTACCTTAAACAAGTCAAAAGATCCCATTTCATTAGCTCTGATAAGGTAATTAAATTTTTAATTGCTGTACTTAGTCAATATAAGAAAAGAAAATTATATTCTTTGCAAATTGTAGTCGCTCATTAACATTTTCCATGTCCTAGAGTACTTCCTTTGGTTGCCCAAATTCCTATTTAATTGTTAATGAGTATCTAATTAATTAAAGCAATTTCTAATCATGCATTGTCATCATACATCGTACTTGGCTGAAAAAATTACAAAGGATATGCCCAAATTTGCAAGTCTTTTTTCTTTGTGAACTACAGATATATCTCTTTTTAAATAAACTAGCTAGTGTAATATAAAAATCGCAAGTTGTCTGAAACACCACGAGTATTTTTAAAAAATAAATATGTGCAGGACTTTTTACATTTCATGTTTTCATGTTTTCTTCGTGAATGTTCTTTAAAGGGAAAAAGGAGGTTTCATAAATTTGTGGGATATGATCAAGATGTCATTAAGTACTTTTAGTATTATATTATATATCATGAAATGGAAATAGTTTTTGTATTATTAGTGGTGATTAGTGGATGTTGATGATTTCTTTGTAATATTGGCAATGATGACTTTTACTCCGCGGCCAAAACTATTTATATTCGGTAATGTAACAAACATGTATAGAATTGTATATTTTTTTTATATATAACATGCAAAAATGTATATATATATACACAAAAAATATTATTTTTTGACTATTATTTTTAAAGTGACTATATAATGTTATTTTTCCTAATATTTTGCTAGGTGAAAATGGATGTTATGATTACTAATGCACAATATTTTTTTTGTTTTTTTATTTANACTAATGCACAATATTTTATGTTTATTCTATTTATTGGTGAGAAGGTGGTTAGGCTAATGGACGAAGTGGAGTCCTTATTCACACAGCACTTTGCAAACAGTGACAGGAAAAAGGCAATGAAGTTCTTAAGACCCCAACAGAATAAAGAATCTCATATGGTCACCTTTTTTGTTGGTAATTCCCTCACTCACTACTCACCCACCCACCCCCTTATATAAAAATAGAAACAAAACAAAAGAAATTCAATTTCCCTCCCTTATATGTCTCTCTAGATCCATCTATATGCACATATTATACTATAATGCTAACAAAAGGTAGTGACAAAAGTTTGACAATATTAACCAAAATTGGGAATTGAATGAGTAACAACAACAATGGTGTCCGGGGAGGTATATGCAGATCTTACCCCTACCTCGTGCATGTAAAGAGGTTGTTCCGAAAGACCTTCGGCTCAAGAGAAAATTGAATGAGTAATGTATTTATTTAGGGGTGAGTGTGTACCCCAAACAAATACATTCATAAGATTGAGTCAACTTAAAATCCATTACTAGTTTTTTTTTATTTTAAAAAAATCATTTTTAGCAGTTAAATTATAACTAGAGATCCTAAAGAACGATATTTAAACAAAGAATTTTTTTTCGAAGTTTTGGAGTTAGAGAGGTTGAATAATGACCCGTCAACCTATTTTTTATTAAACAAACTTTAGACGAATTACGCCATAATCCAGTTTATTAACTCAACTCATTTTAACTTGCACAATTGATACCTCTAGTTCAAACTTTCACGTCCCTCATAAGCATCAATTACAAGCTGATACAACGAAAATACGATGCAAATTTATGTTTATATAGTATGGTTTAGGAAATATTATAAAGTATAATAACAAACTTTCTTAAAAAAAGAGGTATACATCTCAACTATAGTATCATTGTTACATTTTCAGAGTTGCCTGCCTTTTCATAAACTAAAATAACTTTAATATTGTAGTAAGATTTTGATAGAAACAAAGGTGCATGGAACGTGTAAAACAAGACGAGTAACATGTTACAACATGTTAAATTATACTGGTAATTTAAAAAAAAAAATTCGTTGTTACGTGTAATCATATATAAGAAGGGCAGCCTGGTACATTAAACTCTCATTATGCGCGGGGTCCGGGGAAGGGCCGGACCATAAGGGTCTATTGTACGCAGCCTTACCTTGTATTTCTGCAAGGGGCTGTTTCCGCGGCTCGAACCCGTGACCTGCTGGTCAAGCAGCAACTTTACCTGTTACACCAAGACTCCCCTGCATATATATA